TAAAAAAAAAAAAAAAAAAAATAACACTGAATTCAAATTATTATTGCTTAAAATATGGTTTAATATTACTACCTTTTCGTTCATATTATGTCAAACAAAAATACATCTGCTAAAAAACATATTCAGCATCCCAAGTACATGAACGAAATGCATTTAAATGCTTTCCCCCATCTCTGGAATTACTAAAATAGTAAAGTAAAGGTGGAGTTTACTGCTTATTTAGGTTTGTTACAAAGACAATCATAAAAATGATAGAGTAGTAGCAAAACTGACTTCTGATTTTTAAAAATATATTAATTTTAACACTTTCAATTAACTCTGTAACTTCAAAACTGACAGTTAAAACGTTACCTGTTTATATCCTCTTATAAAGGACCAGATCCTGCTGGGAAGTCATATTCTCTGGTGGCTCAATTTTTACATCAGTGGTTTTTAAACCATGTGCTATGGTGAAAAGACTCTCACACTCTTTCTCTACTTTCCCTTCAAGGAGGCACAGAGATTCCCACCAGGGAAGGGACAGGGGCTGTGGGGCAGCACCACCTCCATGGAGAGTTTCAAAACTTTCATTCCGTTTGAGAGGAAAGGTTCCTCTACCAAGACTGAGGTGGTGAGGGCCAGTGACAAACTGGGCAGTACTACCAACAAGGAACAGTCCCATCCAAAATGCCAACCGTTTCCCCACTGAGTATCACCGATTTAAGAACCCTGGTTTTTAGCTTTTTCTGTTAGGGTGGCATCAGGGTGAAATGACATTTGTTGTACAGAAAATTTGCAAGGAAGAACAGACTATTCATGTAACAGGTTCCGGTCCAAATAATGAAGAGTGATTTAAAAATGTGACTTTGAGGTGACACTCATTTCCCCAAATTCCACTGCACTAACCTATTCAGATATTCTGACATTTCTTTCGCCATCTGTTCCCTATAAGAAAAATGACAATACAACATAGTTTTATAAAGACAACTATATAAATTACCTTAAAAGATCTAAAAGTATAATTTAAAATGTATGTTTTAACAGGATTATTGATTTAACCATTCACTATCATTTTACTTTGTAAAAGTCTATAATATACTTTTCAAGATGGCATATAACCATAAAATACAGCAAAATTTTTGTTTAAATACAGTTAAAGTTGTCTGAACTCCATTTTTGTAGTAGGAACTTTCAGATAAAATCTCATGAGAGCCAGGCTTTATGTATGGAATGTAATTAGCATGTTCTAAATGAACACAAGAAACTTGGCAGGATATAGATTCTACACAAGGGTTTTTACACTGGGGTTGCTTAGTAAATATTAATTAGACAAGGCATAACAGTGGTAAACCAAGCTGATCTATTTTATGGTGTCAGAGTTTAAACTTTGATATATTCTAAACTCTAAAATTCTAAATCAAAGCATGCTTTAAAAAAATAAAAGAATTCAAATGCACCAAGTGCTTGTTAAATTAAACACCAGAAGTATTCTGACTTTCCAAGGATAAACATTTCCTGAAGGCAAAACTTATTTTTCTTTTATTCCTCAGGGAAGTATAACTTTTCTCAATATTTGTTTAATTCTGTGAAATGGGATAGATGTTTCATTGTGTTCATCAACAATTCATTAATTTCATTATTTTATTTTCCTATTTGTTTTTCTTTCTTCCTTCATAATCATTTTCTCACGGCTAATTCTATTCATCAGACTCTGGCAGCCTCAAAATCTTACACATCAACAAAAATCATAAGAAAAGAAAATGGTTATGTTTGCATCAGGGTGCAGTTTCCTGGATGCCTATCAGGAGCTCTGACCCTGATTTAAAGGAGTAAAGGACCTTTGTAATTCTTTCTTTGTAATGAACATTAGGGGCTGACAGGAGGACTATCCAAGCAAGCACAGTCAGAGAAAAAGTAATCTTTCAAAACTGATGATCAAGAATAATAAATACAAAGTAATAAACAGAAATATGTATTAAATTATATATTGAGCAATTCACTTATCAATCTCCATTTAGGCTAGTCAGAATTTTCTAACTTTCAAACTCAGCATGATTTTAATAAATATTTTTAATTCTATTATCACCCTACCTCAAGGTTTCTATCTTAGCATCCAAGAGCATCTCTGTTTCTACCATCTCTTTCTCCTGAACTTTCCTCCATTTCTTTTGCCACAGCAGGTTTTTTAAGGGAATTCATGGCCTTTCTAAGCTCGTTACCATGTGGCCTGTTGATGATATACAGATTTCTCCATATGCCCCAACACTACCCTGGATGGCAATCTCTACTGATTCAGCATCTCACCTGACCCTATATTACTGCTCTAGGAGCTGCACCAAAGAGACTAGACAGCAATGGTTCCTGCACCCAGGTGCTTTTTTCCTTCTAATTTTCCCAAACTATATGCAAACAGTCACCTTACACACTGGTTGCGGGCTTATTTAATTCCAGCTCAAACAGTAACTATAAAGCTGTTGTCCTAATGGAGGGAAATAGCACCCAGAGATGTTTTCAAAATTTTTGGTGCCCTGTGGTATCAATGCTGTGGTGAAAGTATACTGTTGGCATCTGAGGAGGTGAAGGGCCAGGGGTGCCAAATGTCCAGCACAAGGAACAACTGCCCAGTGTCCCATGTGACATTGGCATGTCCACCCGACAGAGGTGAAACTCACATATACACAAACATACAGGGTTTTTTTTCCCCATGGTTTTAATATTCACAGAATTTTTCCAGAAATGCAACTACTGTATGGAAAGGAGACAACTCAACTCTGTTCAGAACTTTACAAAGTCCTGTTCAAAATTTCATGGCACCGACAGAACATTCCTTTATCAATTTGCATTTGTAGCTGTCGCATTTATGGTGATGCTATGTATGAATAAAAACATCTGGAGTATTTGACTGTCCCAGTTGTGAGCAAGCACGTTCATATTAAAATATATATAGTATATATAAAATATAAGCAAAAAATAACAAAAATTTACTCCAATGAGGAAACTATTTCTCCTAAAAAGTAACCACAACTTGTTAAAAAAAAAAGGTTGTATTACTAAATCAAATTTTGAAAAGAGAAATGACATACGGTGTCATTTTGGGTCTTACTCCACTGCTTCTGTGAAAAATAATGTATTTTAGTTAATGTCAAAACCAATTCCAAATTGTGAAAATCTAGATTGTGCCAAATTTGTTTCAATGACTTTACTGATTAAAAAAAAAAAGCAAAAAACTGTTACCTTTATTTAATCTGAGATCACTCAAAATTTTAATGTTTAAAATTTTCATTAAAAATTATGAGAAAAGCATATTAAAGGCATTCAATGAAAATTAAAGAGTAAATATATTACATCTAGATTAGAAAATTCATAGAGTGTGAAGTGTGCTTGTTTTTTTACAGAATGTGAATATTATTTCATAATTTTAGGTAATGTGAAATCATCACTTTGCATCAAGGATCATATGTGTGATTAATTGATTAAGATCATATTTTACAACATATTATGTAGAAAACAATTCTTACTTAGAAGTTACTGGATAGGAATCCAACCTGGAAAAGTAACTTGGAATTGTTTAATGCAACAGAATCCATTTGCATATATTTTTAATGCACCACAGAACCCAAGAATGACATATTCATACTATATATGAAGAACAGGATTACTTGAAGAATTCTTACTTGTAAATTTGTCAGAAATAATTCAGTGCTAACAAAGGTGAAATAAACATTCAAAAACATTTACTTGTAGCCCATGGAGTACAATGAAATTATCAAACATGGAAAATATGTATAGGACATCATCCATAATGAAGTGCTAATGCTTGTAGTACAGAGTATAAAATAACCAGGAGGTTCTGAAGGGAAGGAGCTCATGAGGACATGAGGGTCAGGAAAAGCTTTCCTGGAAAAGAGCTTAAAGGGGCATTCCAGAGGAGGGGACACCAACCCAGAAACTGTCTCACAGGAAAACTAAAACTAACTCTTTTGCCATTCAAGTCATAACTGCTTGAATATGTCCCAATTACTTAGTAGTGGTCCCATTACATAGCTAATTCTGCTTAACATAAACCACAGGTAACTTATCATTTATGTTAAATGTCCTGAATGATCCACTCTTTCTCTGAGACCACTCACCCTTGGAAGAAGTGCACCTTTTAAAAAAATTTTTTTTTGAGTTTTTAAATTATTTTTGAGAGAGAGAGAGAGAGAGAGAGTAAGCATGTGTGCACGAGCAGGGGAGTGGCAGAAAGAGAAGGAGAGGGAGAATCCCAAGCAGAAGCTTGGGAATCCCAAGCCGACGTGGAGCTCAAACTCACAGTGAAATCATGACCTGAGCCAAAATCAAGAGTCAGAAGCCTAACCAACAGAGCCACCCAGGCACCCTAAGAAGTGCACCTTTCTGCAGATGAGAAGGAGTCCACTTATGAGCCAGTATCTTATACATATTATATGGAATGGAACTGGATATAGTTTAATGTTTTGAAGGCTTAAACATAAAGCCTGGCCATGAATACCAATACTGACTGCAATAATGAGTATTAGAAACGAACTTCAGCTGTAATGAAGCCAGCTCGGTCAACTGCAGTACCTCCTCACACACAGAGAGGGCAGCTATAGGAGCTTGGTTCATAGGAGCTTGGCCCAGCTACTACTCAGTTACACTCAAAGGCTCTCAGCCATTCCAACATAACACAGGTGCAAGGAAGAGAAGAGCAGCTGAGCTGAGTCTGCAGTTTTAAGAGCCACAGCCCGGGAAAATATTTTAATTATGGTGAAATGTTAGTAAAGAGCTCAAATACTGGACTCAAATCCAAGAGCTTAATAATTACTATAATACTTTGTATGACAGGCCCGTTCAGTTTATTTAAATATAATATACTTTCAAATACAGTTCAGACCCCAGAGCTCTCCCAAAACTATCACTTAGTAGAAAAAGCACGAAGGTGACAACATACTCTTTTCCATCCTTTTGTTTTAGCTAAATAAAATCTAATCACTGCCTCTCCATTCCTACCAAGTTTTTCCTTTCACAAGGACATAGCGACATCTAGTGGTTGGTTGCATTTTAATTACTATTTTTCATCAACAGTACTCCGACATTCTGAAAAGCACGGTTACATAAATCTATGTGCGTCTCAATATTATACAACATATATATCTACATACAGGGGAACCCCACAAACTAGCTATGCTCTGATTTTATAAGTAAATAATCAAATTACTGAATGTTTCTATATTCTAAATTTTTTTTTAATGAAAAAAGACCTTCCTGCAACTTTTAATAAGAACATCCATACTTCTCCACACTCCAATAAAATTCAGTACTTAGAGATAATTTGGAAAACTGGGGAGCCAATACATTTCAATATCATAAATATTCCTTCTTGGAAAGGGAAATCTATTGAGAAACATGATGTGTGTGTAAAATTTTTCCTCATTGTAAATGTTAGGGTGTATATTAAATAAAAATTTGTATTAGAAAAATAATAAATCCCAACCTCAAATACATTAAACTGGATTATAATATATTCACTGATTTCTGTGCCAGTATTTAATGGCAGGTACCTAGAAATTAGATGTTTACTTTTTATACAATATTCCTTGACAATTTCAGAGTAAAAGTTGAGATGTTTCATGAACTGAAGTATCAGTTTTATTTTTCAATAGTTTAACAATTTGATGCAATCATCTGTCTCATTTGCTTGGGTATAAAAGTAGATACAAGTAATTTTAAAGTGATTTTACTTAAAACAGATCAGGACCTAAAGAATACGACTGCCCTGGTCCCTTCATGCTGAAATAAGCAGCAGAGATGGAAAGAAAGCAGGGTGCTACACCCCACCCCGCAGCCCAGTACCTCCGGAGCACCAGGTCAGCCTGGGCCTCGTCGCTGATGAGCTCAGATTCGCTCTGGGCGATCCTCAGGGCCAGCTCCCGGTCGCGGCGCTCCTGCTCCAGAACCGCCTGCTGCTGAGATTCCTCTTCCCGCTGTCGGGCCAGCTGCTCCTCCACTTCAGCCTGCCAAGGGCAGAAAGCCATCTCACCAAGTTCTCTCCACATGTTTACTTGACCATTTCCATTACTACTTAAAACTGCTCCACACAATTCCTTACTACAGGATACATATTGTTTAACCAGAAGTCTCTCGAGGCTCCATTCTCTTCTATGTTACAATTAATGCTTCCTCTCTTTCCCAAATCCAAAAGAAGGTAGACGAACCACAGTTCTGCCATTCTATCACCATGAGTATCCCAAATATCACATGAGAATCCTGGGTATCACATTAACGCCAAGACCTGGACAGATGTCAAGAATTTAAAGTGCTGGTTGTGCTCAGGATGAATTATGAAAGCCAAGACAGAAACTCAAATATATGATCAACCATTCTCAGACATGGGCCTTTTAAAAAATGGGGGTGGAGAGAATATCTTAATCCTAATCTACTGATACTAGTATCTACAAAGTTTTAAAATTATAATTATGTTGTAAGTGAATATTCATTGTATTGAATATTCACTGTATTGTATTGTATGTATTGTATTCATTGTATTGAATATTCATTGTATATAAAGTGTAATAACAATAACAACAAACTAGTATTTACTGAACTGCGCACTTAGGTTCTAGGTGCTTTAACAAGGGCACCTGGGTGGTTCCGTAGGTTGATTTTGGCTCAGGTCATTATCTCATGGTTTGTGAATTCAAGGCCTACATCAGGCTCTGTGCTGGGAACGCAGAGACTGCTTGGGATTTTCCCTCTCTCCCCTCTCTCTCTCTCAAAATAAATAAACTTAAAAAAAAAATTCTTTAACATGTGTCAACTCATTTAATGCTCACAACTATCATTTATCCCTATTCCACAAAGAAAAAACTATAGCCCATAGTCACTCATGGTGATTTGTTCAATGTCACCGTATCCATCAACGACAGAGTCTGGATTTGAACTCACTTCCCTAGTTCCAAAGTTCCTTCCCATAACCACTTCAGAAAATGCCTTTTGTCTCTGGGGTAAACCAATGACAGCTTATCTAGCAAATCAAGGTTTTGTTTTCAACTTCTTTTGTTTTATAATTTTGTAGATTCTCTTTTGATAGAAATTCAGTCTGATTATCTAATAAATACATACCTGAATACGTTTTTCATCATCTTCCCTTTTCTTTCTCTCTTCTTCTTCTTGTTTTCTCTTTGCTTCCATCTCAAGTTTCCTATGAAAAAATAGAAAACTCCTCAAAAATTTATTGAAGAAATCCATCAGAAGGCAATTTAACTATTAATAAACAAAGGTTACAAAATAAGAACTCAAATTAACCTCTTGGCCTTATGCATTATTAGCTTTGAAAATAATAAAATCTAACTCTACTGACAGTAATTTTTCTGAAATAAACAAAAAAATACAATTATATTCTATAACCTTTAAATCTGTAGATTAACTTTGTTATAAACCCTAGTTACAACGTCCTGATCACACGTCTCCCTCTCCTGCTTCTCCAACTAAACAACTCTTAACACTTCTTCTGTCTGCCCTATGGTGGCAACCTTCCAAAAAGTTATCAGTTTTAAAACTGCAGAAAAGTAGAAGTGCCTTTTTATTGTTTACAAAATAACAATCCTAGCTCTAAAAAGAAGTTAAGAAATCCTCAGGTGTAAGAGTCTAACCAAAACTCAGATTATAATTAAAATTATTTTATGTTATTATAAAATGAACTTGTGTTTTCTATTTTAAAACTTATTCTAAAATTAGTTTTAAAATAAGAACATAATGTTTTAAAGTAAGAATATTCATTAACCAATATTAACACCAAAAATTTACTATTCTGTTAGCTTCCAATTCAAAACAGTAATATAAATTCCTTACATCCGCCTTTCCTCCTCTTCCTTTCTTCGACGTTGTTCATCTTCCTCACGTCTTTTTCTTTCTTTTTCCATTTCTTCTTGAATACGCCTCAGCCGTTCTGCTTCCTCTTCCTGCTGTTTTTTTTTCTGTAATGCGCTGAGGAGTTCCTCTGAGCTTTTAACTAGTGCATCATATTCTCTCTGTATTTGTTCCCTTGTCATCATAGTGGACTTAAGAACAAAATAATAAACACGTACTTAAAAAAATTAGCTCTTCTATTGCACAATGTGAATATACTGAATGCTACTGAATTATACATTTAAAAATGGTTATGATGGTTATGTTAAAAATGGATTGGTTAATATTACATGCTTTTACCACAAGAAAAAAATATATATATACACACACAAATACAGCAAACACTGGAAAGGTTGGTAAGCAGTAAGGCCATTATCTTTGTTATACTACTGGTACACTAATGTTCAAAAATATTTTAAGTTATCTCTGCAGACAAATACTTGAGTCTATTTCCTATTAATCAAGTAATAAAATATCTAAGGGTGTACTGTAGACAAAGTAACATTACTATAGTTGAAAATTACGTTTTAAGGAATGATTTATTAATTTTGCTTTTGTTTACTATTCTTTTTCAATAGATGTCTTTTATTTTTTTTCTATTAAGTATAATTTATTGCCAAATTGGTTTCCATACAACAACCAGTGCTCATCCCAACAGGTGCCCTCCTCAATGCGCATCACCCACTTTCCCCTCCCCCTCCCACCCCCCATCAGC